GGTTTAAATTTCTTGGGGGGTTTGGTTTGGGGTTGGATTGGCGGTTTTTGGGGGGGGGGGAGGAAAAAAAAACCCCCGTGCAGCCTCTTTCTTCCTTTTTTTTTTGGTGCTGCTGCGCGCAGGGCCCCCGTCTAGCCGTGACTCAACGCCCCGAGCTTCTGCATTTCCCAGAAAAGCCCCTGTCTTCCTGACCTTCGGCTGCTTTTGCCCCACCCCGCTGTCAGGTGGGCCAAAAATGGGACATCGAGGGCTCAGGGTAACCCCGCTGGCACTGCTCCATCCCCAGCCTTGATCTCCCCAGCACTGGGGAGCTGGAGGCTCATCCCCCTCCTGCTGCTGCATCATTTTCAGGCGCAATTCCCTGCTTTCCCATTCCACTGCCCACAGCTGGGTGACTGGGGGATGCTGCAGGCAGGGGCCGAGGGAGGCAGGGTGGCTGGAGAAAGGGAGGAGCTGGAAGTTTCTCTCCTCCCCGTGCCTCAGTTTCCCTGGTTGTAAAATGGAGACGGTCTCCTGCTGCAAAAGTCGCAGATGGAGCATGAGCAGCTGAGCAAAGGGTGATTTCCAGGAGGCTGCGGGGTGCTGGAAATGCTGCTTTTGGAGCTGATCCTCAGCCAGAAGCCAGGGAGCTGAGGGGATGCTCCTGCTGCACCCTGCACCCATCACACTGGGGCTCTGTGGCCAGGAGAGCACCAAGGCAGCACCCGAGCTGAAATCCCTCATGATATCCCTGGTGTAGCTTCCAGGATGAGGCAGGGACACCCCCCACAGCCACCCTCCTGCCATTGCTCTCACTGATGCTGCCCCCCGGGCAGGAAGGGGGGACGTGGGACAGGACTTACAGACCTTAACGTGCCACTCAGACCTACATCGGGCCGGTGCTCATCTCCGTCAACCCCTTCAAGCAGATGCCGTACTTCAGCGACCGGGAGATCGAGCTGTACCAGGGGGCGGTGAGGCTGCTGCGCGCCAGCTGGCGGGGTCGGCCAAGGGTTCAGCGGGTTTAATTTGGTGCAAAACACGGCGGGGGTGTCCCATGAGCATCCCCGTCCTCCCCAGCCCTTTGGGTGCTGCACGGGTCAGCGCTCCCAAACACATTGATGGAGAGACAGTAATGAGACTCGGGAGCAAATGCACGTTCCTGGGAAATTCAGCTCATGGATACACACCAAAGCAACCCAAACGTGGCAAAATCCAGCCCGAGTGACTGGCTCTGCTGCCACGAGCTTCCCAAGGAGGAGGGAAGAGTCGAAAAACCATCTGACATGCTGCTGATCAGCTCATGTTGGTGGCAAGAGCCTAATTCCCCATCCCTGTGCGTGTTACTGCCTTGTGCAGTGCACGGGCAGAGTTAAGGGGATGTGGGGAGAGGGCTCAGCGTGGGGAGCTGACGGCTGCTCCGTGCTCAGCGCTGCTGTCCTTGTCTCCCCGTTTAGGCTCAGTATGAAAATCCCCCCCATATCTACGCCCTGACCGACAACATGTACCGCAACATGCTGATCGACGGGGAGAACCAGTGCGTCATCATCAGGTAGGGGGTCTGTGGGGTGCAGCCAGGGACCCCATGCCACCGCTCCAGGGCCGGCTGCCCCCATCACCCCTTCTCCCCACACCCTGGGGGCACCCTGGCAGCAGCCGAGCAGCAGCAAGAGGCAGATGAAGCCCAGTGGTGGGTCCTGGGGGACCCAAGCGTGTGGGGGTGCCCGGAGGGACCCTGGCATTCTGGGCCACGAGCACCAGGAGGGCTGCGACCGGGTTGTCCCAGGCAGGCACCGAGCCTTGTGCAATGCACCTTTCCGGCTGAGTGTTGCAAGGGAAATGGTCACGATGTGGGGCAAGGCCAGAGACTTCCCTTCGAGGCTCCCAAGTCTCCCTTCTCCGCTCCAAAACCCAGCTACAAGAAATCCAACATCTCCTGGAGTCGCTCCTCACCCAGCCTTGCTTCGGCCCCACTTATATCTCCGAGCCCCCCGACAGCCCTATCCCCGGTGTTAGCGCTGCCACGTGCTCAGAGTACATGGCAGGAGGGACACCACAGACCCCATCACCCACCATCATCCATCCCCCAGCCCTGCTCCAGCATCCCGCCCCGAAACACCCCAGGATGGGTGACTCTGGTGGGGCTGTCTCACGTCTCCTCTGCTTTGACATTTGCGCAGCGGAGAAAGCGGGGCCGGGAAAACGGTGGCAGCGAAATACATCATGGGCTACATCTCCAAAGTCTCCGGGGGTGGCGAGAAAGTGCAGGTATGACTGACCCCCCCCTTCCCACACCGCCATGCATCATGTCACCTCCCAGCTGCTCCCCACCACCCCGGCCCCCCACTCCCCCCATCTGATGGGGGCCTTTTTCAGGTTTGGGGACACAAAGCCCCAGGTCTGTCCCCAGCCCCAAGGCAGGGCTGCTGCAGTGGGGCGCAGGCGTGCAGCCCCCCTGCTCAGCCCTCTCCCTCCTCTGCCCCCAGCACGTGAAGGACATCATCCTGCAGTCCAACCCGCTGCTGGAAGCCTTCGGAAATGCCAAAACCGTCCGGAACAACAACTCCAGCCGCTTTGTAAGTCATCAAGGCCGGTGCAGAGGGTTGGCACCTTGGCTGGGATCTGTCCCAGCGATGCTCCTGGCGTGGTGGGAGAAGAGGGAGAGAAGCCAGGGGGATTGAGGAGTCCCGCTGGCAGGGCACGGCTCTGAGCGGGAGCTGTGCTGGGGCAGGGGAAGTACTTCGAGATCCAGTTCAGCCGGGGCGGTGAACCTGACGGGGGGAAGATCTCCAACTTTCTGCTGGAGAAGTCACGAGTGGTGAGCCAGAACGAGTGCGAGAGGAATTTCCACATCTACTATCAGGTACGGGGGGCACGGAGCCGGCCGGGCTGCCTTGGGGGCCAGGGGACGGGTAACTGCAGCTCCCGTTTCTCCCCCAGCTCATCGAAGGGGCGTCCCAAGAGCAGCGGCAGAACCTGGGCATCATGAGCCCGGATTATTACTACTACCTGAACCAGTCGGACACGTACCAGGTGGAGGGCACGGACGACCGCAGCGACTTCCATGAGACCATGGTGAGTCCCCGGGAGGGGGAGTCCCCAAAGCCAGCTGCCGCCAGGCAGGGGCTGACGGGCTCCCCGTGCCCCCAGAACGCCATGCAGGTCATCGGCATCCGGGGCGAGGACCAGCAGCTGGTGCTGCAGATCGTGGCGGGGATCCTCCACCTGGGAAACATCAGCTTTCGGGAGGAAGGCAACTACGCTCGGGTGGAAAACGCTGACTGTGAGTAGCCAAATCCCCCTGCTCCACGGGGGCAAGTGAGGGCGCTCACAGAGACCCCTGGCAAGGAATTGCAAACTCTGCATAGCACAAATCCCCTGGCAGAGGAGAGAGGCAGTGTCTGCATCTTCCCCACATTAGACATGGGGAAACTGAGGCAGCGAGCAAATGGCACAGCCAGAGCTTAATTAGCAAGAGGATGGATGCCAGGAGTGGCTTACTGTGATTTAGCAGAGGGAGGACCCTGTCCCACCTCCCCCGGCCGC